ATGAAAAGATCCTGGTTAATGAATCCTGAAAGTTTCAAGTCGCTCTGATACCTCGAAGTATTTTTCAGGATTTTTCAAAGGTGATTTGACGTGAATTTTCCAACTTTTTCTGGTAATAAGTTGGGAAAAACCTCATAATTTCATTTTTGAACTTCAGATAGACTTCAAATTTGGCTTGTATGATGAAAACATCCTGGTTAATAAATCCTGAAAGTTTGAAATTGATCTGATACTCCGAAGTATTTTTCGGGATTTTTCAAATGTGATTCGACGTGAATTTTCCAATTTTGGCTGCTATTAAGTTGGAAAAAACCTCATAATTTTATTTTTGAGCTTCAAATTGACTTCAAATTCAGCTTGTTTGATAAAAAGATCCTGGTTAATGGATCCTGAAAGTTTCAAGTCGATCTGATACTCCGTCAAATTCACGTCAAAGGTGATTTGACGTGAATTTTCCAACTTTTTCTGGTATTAGGTTGGAAAAAAACTTCATAATTTTATTTCTGAGGTTCAGATTGACTTCAAATGTTAAAAACCTCTGTAAATGTAACTGAGAATGTCTAATAAACGTGTTTTTTGAGTAAAAATTTCACAACTTCAAACATCATATAGACGTCGAAAACAAACATTTTAAAAACGAAAAAAGACGTTTTTCAAAGGTCTTTTAGAACATCCATTGGAAATCCTTTAGGGCCGAATTTATAGTCGTTCCTCGAGGTTTCCTCAGACCTCAATAAGGAAGCCTTGAACGTTTAGAATTGACATGACTTATATGTCAAATAGTAGCAAGTGTGCATTCTAAGCTCATGACCTCCAAGGAAGAACTATACATTCGGTCCTTAAGTATCCAAGAACGTTCAAAATATCTTTGTTTGAAGTACGAATGTTAGCTCCGTTAATTTCGATCCGATTCTAAAGTAATTAGACTCTAATTAAGCCAACTAAATTCTCTACAAACCTGTTAATTACGTTTTCAAATAATTCAAAGGGCCATATTTGGGAAACCAGAAAAGTTATAACAACGAAATTTTGTCTTATTGGGGCTTCAAAAAAGGTTATTTGGGGCATCGAGCCCTAGGGCTTCGTTTCCGAGATAATCAGCTTTGAAGGTTTTCCAAAATTTGAGACAAACTTTTAACTTTGAGGCTCAATATCTCAAAAACTATTTGAGATAAGTGATTCAATTTTGTTTTATCTGAAAGAGCATTCAAGCCTTACTAAATTCTCTACAAACCTGTTAATTTCAAATTGTTCTCAACAGTATTGCAGCTGAGAAGCTTCAAAATTGAAATTGAACATAAAGGGAACATTTTTCAAAAACGACACTGAGAGTACCTACTGAGACACATTTTGCCTCACAGCCAATTGAATTATCTACAAACCTCTAATTTTTGTTTGTATGCCTCACTAATTCTGATAATTCAATCAATGGACAATAATATTTATATAAATAGAAAAATTATAAGGCAATTTTATACTGTCCTGACCTACGTTGAAGACGTTCATTGGGATTTTTTTCTCGTACATATAATCTAGGATTTCCCGTTGCGTTTGAGGTGTTGCACTATAAAACCGCAGAAAAATATTTACCATTACTATACTTGGAAATAACTTATTTGTTATTTTTCGAGACACAGAATAATTTCATTCTTTGGGAACCCAACCATTGGCTTTCACTTTAAAAATTACAGGCCTATACGATCCATCCAACTATTACCACACACACCGCCGTTTGATGATGATGGTTTGCCTGCTACTTCCTCGTTTATTAAATTAGCATCTCCACTTTCCATTTTTCTAATAAGTTTTAGAACTCACATCTGGTTAACATTGACCTTGTGTATTCTTTTGGCAATAATTATAACAATATGGTGCCAACTATATTTTCTTCTAGTCGGCAAACTGAAAACCGTAAATCCTCCCACTGTGGTCTTTTACGTGGAAAATGACTTAACCGATTCACTATTGTGGCCTGGGCGGGAGATTAAAAAAAAAAGCGGTTTACCATGAACGAGAACTTAATGATGATATGCTGCTTAGGAAAAGCTTAGAATAGAATTTGTAGCAACATACCTACTTAATAATTGGCGGATATTTAAACATTCTATTAGATGAGTTTTTCAAAAAGTCCAGATTATTGTGTGTAGGAAAGCTTTGCTGTTTGTTGATTATGGGCCTAAAGTGTGAAAACTTTTTACACAATTTTCAGGAATCTGGATTTTTTCTTAATATGTGGATGCAGATGCAAATGGAAATTTTTATTGGTGAAGAATGATGGAAGAAAATGGACTATGACATTATTTTCATACATAAAGAATTATTCAATTGAGTGATTATTCCAGGCACTTGATTGGAATCAAGAGCCGGAAAGAACCAAAAAAATTCCTAATAGAAGAAAAGCTATCGACACGAAATTTTGTCTATTTGTAGATCTTGATTGGAACTTCAAAAAAGGTTATTTGGGGCACTGAGCCCTAAGGCTTTGTTTTCGAGATAATCAGCTTTGAAGATTTTCTAGAATTTTAGACAAAGTTTTAACTTTAAGGCTCAATATCTCGAAAACTATTTGAGATAAATTATTCAAGTTTGTTTTATCTTAAAGAGCATTTAATTCTGATCAAGTACATATAAATTTGCATTCGAATTTGTAAAATATTAATTGGGTCATGAGCGGATTTGTGAGACAATGTCGGATGATTAAAATTTTCCAGGGGTAAAAATGCAAAAATAATTTTTAATTTTATACAGGCTCTAAAACCTCAAAAAGAAAAATCACGAAAATGCTTTTCTACTAAATTTGATCCCCATTTTCGACTGGTAAAGTTAAAAATTGAAAAATTTAGAAAAATTAAAACTGAAATTTTTCCAAGGGGTATGCAAGGAAATTTCATTTTCAAATATTTTAAAGGGCCATATTTTGGGAACCAGGAAAGCTATAGGTACGAAATTTTGTCCAATTGTAGGTTTCGATTGGGGCTTCAAAAAAGGTTATTTGGGTCACTGAGCCCTAGGGCTTCCTTTCTGAGATAATCGGCTTTGAAGGTTTTCCCAAATTTGAGACAAAGTTTTAACTTTGAAGCTTAATATATCGAGAACTATTTGAGATAGATGATTCAATTTTATTTTATCTTAAAGAGCATTTAATTCTGATTAAGAATATATAAATATGCATGAGAATTTGTGAAATATTAGGTGAGTCATGAGTCATGAGCGATTTTGTGAGACAATATCGGATGATTAACATTTTCCAGGGCTAAAAAATGCAAAAATCATTTTTAATTTTTTACAGGCTCTGAAAACACAAAAACAAAATTCACATAAATGCTTTTCTACTAAATTTGATCCCCTCTTTCGATTGGTAAAGTCAAAAATTGAAAAATCTAAAAAAATCAAAATTCAAATGTATGCAAGGAAATTCCATTTTCAAATATTTCAAAGGGCCATATTTTGGAATCCAAAAATGCTATCGGCACGAAATTTCGTCTTTTTGTAGATCTCGATTGGGGTTTCAAAAAAGGTTATTTGGGGCACCGACTCCTAGGGCTTCGTTTTCGAGATAATCGGCTTAGAAGGTTTTCCAAAATTTAAGACAAAGTTTTAACTTTGAGGCTCAATATCTCAAAAACTATTTGAGATAAGTGATTCAATTTTATTTTATCTTAAAGAGCATTTAATGCTGATTAAGAATATATAGATATGCATTGAAATTTGTGAAAAATTAATTGAGTCATGAGCGATTTTATGAGGCAATGTCAGATGATTTAACATTTTTCAGGGCTAAAAATGCAAAAATCATTTTTAAATTTTTACAGGCTCTAAAACCTCAAGAAGAAAAATCACGAGAATTCTTTCCCACTAAATTTGACCCCCTCTTTCGATTGGAAAAGTGAAAAATTTAAAAATTTAAAAAAATCAAAATTGAAATTTTTCTAAGGGGTATGCAAGGATATTTCGTTTTCAAATAATTCAAAGGGCTATATTTGGAAAACCAGAAAAGCTATAAGCACGAAGTTTTGTCTTATTGTATATCTTGATTGGGGCTTCAAAAAAGGTTATTTGGAGCATTGAGCTCCAGGGCTTTGTTTTCGAGATAATCAGCTTTGAAGGTTTTCCAAAATTTGAGACAACTTTGAGGCTCAATTAGCTATTAGCGATTTAGTGAAGAAATCAAGAATCAAGAGCCAGGAAAAATCAAAAATTGTACAGCAAATGTCTAGTTTCTAGACAATAGTGAATTCAAATATCCTAGTAACCTGGATTATGTTGATTTTGGCCCTGATGGAGTTTTAGAAATACTGTAGAATTCAACTGTTAACATAGAAGCTGCTGAATCCAGATCAATGGAAATTGAAATTGAAGTGATACAGGAAGGAATTCAAAAATATATCCAAGAAGATCAAGATGATGTTTGAAAAAACTGATCAGAAGACCATACATTATTGTCAAATTAGACTTGGAATATCAAGAATCATCACAAAAATGATCCCAGGGGAAGACTAAAAAAAGACAATATCAATTAAAGTTGAGAAATATAGATTTCACACATGAAAATTTTAACTTCCACTGGAATAAGTCATAGCAGGCCTTGAAACAGACTCAATTTCTTAACACACAAATCTTGATTCAACATCAATCTGTAACATCTCATAGTTCAAGTTCCTGCGCTAAAACTCCTTATCTAAATTTGGTACCAACAACCCAAGAACCAGTTTTGTTTCTAGGCTGGCCTTTGGTTCCTAGAGAACCAATTCGGCAACTATTTTAAATTAAAATCCTTTGGCCTTTCAACAGGAGTTAAGTATTGGTCAAAGGAGGATACAAGCTAATGATCGATTTCCTGCAACAACTTATACTATGTATATGCAAAAATTTATGAGTTTATTGTTTGTTTGAAAGATAAAATACCATTAATCTAACTCTCCTGATGTGTATTATTATTATTTATGTCTCAATCCCGGAAGAATTTGCTTGACTGGTGCGGAGAAAGTGAAATTATTTACCATTAATATAAACATGTTGTCGCCACAATTGCTGGTACTGACTCCACCGGTGAGAATCCTGTGGAGGAATATTTGTAGGGGTTGCGTTGGTACCTTGCAGGCCTGCTTGGACGTGCGTCAGGGTACCTTGCATCACCCCTACAGCCACAGGGTGGCCGGAAACTGGCGCGACCGGAGTATTAGCAACTTGAGGCTGTTGTTGCGGAGGCAATTGGTATTCCATTTTGTATAGAGTTTTATGTAAAGTATTTTTATTCCGACACTTTTAGAACCACATAGCTGATAATGTAGATTTTCCCCAAATACTAATTTAAAACACTTTTTTCGCGGGTACCACTCAAACTCATGCCTTAACACATGCTATAAAACCGTAGCTCCCGCGCACTTAATTTTGCTTGTCCAGGACCAAAAAGTTTTCAAAAAAAAAAGTTTTTTCGTCCTGAAAAAGTACAAACCGCCGGTAGGGGGGAAGCGCAGTTCGCGCGCTCTCTCACGAAAGACCCGGACTATAGACTTTGTTGTGTTCCGCCAGCAAAGTCCTGCTGAATCCACCGGTGGTCCCCATTGGGGGGACTTCTTGGACGAGCCTGAGGAATGGTGGGGACGGAACGCTCTCGCTTTTACCGCCGCGGTTTTTTTTTTTTCGGTTGCAAAAGCCCGGAAATCTATCTATCTGGTTGTTTTGGCTGGTCTATGGTTTATAGTTCAGTGGCTTATGAAATTTTGGGAAAAGTTATTGACAAGATTTTTCGTTGGTTTTTTAAATTGAGTGATTATTCCAGGCATTTGATTGCAAATTGAAATAAATTATATACCATTGGAAAGAGCATTAAATTCTCTATAGATCCGTGCCAAATTGAGTTCGATAGCTCAGAAAGCTTTTGAGTGATTGAGCCTCAAGCTTTATTTTTAGTCTAAATTTTGTCAAAAACTTCAAACTCAATTTTCTCAAAAACTATGAACCTGGGAATATTGTAAATTACAGATTTTCAAGAGCTTGATAAGAGCTCTAAATGCTGGAAATTTCAATGCAATTTGCTCAAAGGTTACCGAGCAATTGAGGTTTGAATATTTTGAAATCAGAATTCAAAGGGGGTACCCTTATGAAAAACTCGATTTTTTTTATTTTTCAGTTTTGCTCAATTTTGACTTCACTAATCGATAGAGCGGGTTGAAATTAGTGGAAAACAACCCTGACATTATTTTCAAATGGCCATTTCAAACAGAAACAAAAATAAAAAGGAAATCTTATTTTTGGCTCTGGAAAATTTTCAAAATCTTGACATGTCTTGAGCAATTGCCCATAACTTTGTTATATTTCGAGCAAATTGAAACAAATTATATACCATTCGAAAGAGCATTAAATTCTCTATAAATCCGTGCAAAATTGAGTTCGATAGCTCAAAAAGCTTCTGAGTAATTGAGCCTCAAGCTTTATTTTTAGTCTAAATTTTGTCAAAAACTTCAAACTCAATTTTCTCAAAAACTATAAACCTAGGAATATTATAAATTACATGTCTTTTAGAGCTCAATAAGAGCTATAAATGCTGGAAATTTCAATGCAATTTGCTCAACGGTTACCGAGCAATATAGGTTTGAATATTTTGAAATCAGCATTCAAAGGGGGTACCCTTATGAAAAACTCGATTTTTTTACTCTTCAGTTTTGCTCAATTTTGACTTCACTAATCGATAGAGCGGGTTGAAATTAGTGGAAAACAACCCTGACATTATTTTCAAATGGCTATTTCAAACAGAAACAAAAATAAAAAGGAAATCTTATTTTTGGCTCTGGAAAATTTTCAAAATCTTGACATGTCTTGAGCAATTGCCCATAACTTTGTTATATTTCGAGCAAATTGAAATAAATTATATACCATTCGAAAGAGCATTAAATTCTCTATAAATCCGTGCAAAATTGAGTTCGATAGCTCAAAAAGCTTCTGAGTAATTGAGCCTCAAGCTTTATTTTTAGTCTAAATTTTGTCAAAAACTTCAAACTCAATTTTCTCAAAAACTATAAACCTAGGAATATTATAAATTAAATGTCTTTTAGAGCTCAATAAGAGCTATAAATGCTGGAAATTTCAATGCAATTTGCTCAACGGTTACCGAGCAATATAGGTTTGAATATTTTGAAATCAGAATTCAAAGGGGGTACCCTTATGAAAAACTCGATTTTTTTACTTTTCAGTTTTGCTCAATTTTGACTTCACTAATCGATAGAGCGGGTTGAAATTAGTGGAAAACAACCCTGACATTATTTTCAAATGGCCATTTCAAACAGAAACAAAAATAAAAAGGAAATCTTATTTTTGGCTCTGGAAAATTTTCAAAATCTTGACATGTCTTGAGCAATTGCCCATAACTTTGTTATATTTCGAGCAAATTGAAATAAATTATATACCATTCGAAAGAGCATTAAATTCTCTATAAATCCGTGCAAAATTGAGTTCGATAGCTCAAAAAGCTTCTGAGTAATTGAGCCTCAAGCTTTATTTTTAGTCTAAATTTTGTCAAAAACTTCAAACCCAATTTTCTCAAAAACTATAAACCTAGGAATATTATAAATTAAATGACTTTTAGAGCTCAATAAGAGCTATAAATGCTGGAAATTTCAATGCAATTTGCTCAACGGTTACCGAGCAATTGAGGTTTGAATATTTTGAAATCAGAATTCAAAGGGGATACCCTTATGAAAAACTCGATTTTTTTATTTTTCAGTTTTGCTCAATTTTGACTTCACTAATCGATAGAGCGGGTTAAAATTAGTGGAAAACAATCTTGACATCATTTTCAAATCGCCATTTTAAACAGAAACAAAAATAAAAAGGAAATCTTATTTATGGCTCTGGAAAATTTTCAAAATCTTGACATGTCTTGAGCAATTGCCCATAACTTTGTTATATTTCGAGCAAATTGAAATAAATTATGTACCATTCAAAAGAGCATTAAATTCTCTATAAATCCATGCAAAATTGAGTTTGATAGCTCAGAAATCTTTTGAGTAATTGAGCCTCAAAGTTGACTTTTAGTCTAAATTTTGTCAAAAACTTCGAACTCAATTTTCTCAAAAACTATAAACCTGGGAATATTATAAATTACACGACTTTTAGACCTTCATAAGAGCTATAAATGCTGAAAATTTCAATGCAATTTGCTCAACGGTTACTCAGTAATTGAGGTTTGAATATTTTGAAATCAGAATTCAAAGGGGGTACCTAGCCTTATGAAAAACTCGATTTTTTTATTTTTCAGTTTTGCTCAATTTTGACTTTACCAATCGATAGAGCGGGTTAAAATTAGTGGAAAACAACCCTGACATCATTTTTAAATGGCCATTTTAAACAGAAACAAAAATAAAAAGGAAATCTTATTTTTGGCCCTGGAAAATTTTCAAAATCTTGACATGTCTTGAGCAATTGCCCATAGCTTTGTTATATTTTGAGCAAATGGAAGTAAATTATATACCATTGGAAAGAGCAATAAATTCTCTATAAATTTGTGTGAAATTCAGCTTGATCGCTCGGAAAGCTTTTGAGTAAATGAGCCTCAAACTTTACTTTTAGTCTAAATTTTGTCAGAAACTTCAAACTCAATTTTCTCAAAAACTATGAACCTGGGAATATTGTAAAATACAGATTTTTAGGAGCTTGATATCAGAGCTCTAAATGCTAAAAATTTCAATGCAATTTGCTCAACGGTTACCGACCAATTGAGGTTTGAATATTTTGAAATCACAATTCAAAGAAAGTACCCTTATGAAAAACTCCTTTGACTTATAATTGTTGAATGTGCAAAGAGAAAACAGGAAAACTGGAGTGTTGCTAGGCTCTAGCATAGTTTCCTCTAGTGATGAAACAGAAGGCTTGTGTGTGTAATTTCAGGTCAGGTAGAAATAAATCGAGATTTGATAGTTTTATCTCAAGTTTATCCATATAAAAAAAAAGCTAGTCATAGAAAGTATAGTGAATCTAGACATATAGGAGATTATTTTGGACATTGCTAGTGAAGATCAAGATGGTGATACATCAAATGTGACAAACTTGGATCAGACAGTAGTAGAATTAAGAGATCAATATGGGCCAGGCCCCAGTTCTGATTCAAATAAACTATGTGAAACTTCAAATGATTCTTCTACTGAAGATGCTTTTGAAAATACAGTAATAAACAGAAGAGGAAGAATAATTAAAAAGCCAACCTGGTTACAAGATTATGATACAAATGCCTGTTTCTTCACACAAAATGAAGAATCAATATCTTATGAGGAAGCTGTTCATGGCGATAAATCTCTAAAAATGGAAAGAAGTTATTTAGCAAGAGAACTCCTGAAAAATAATACATGGACTGAAGTACTCTGGCCAGATAAAAAAAGTTGCAAACAATCCCGAAAACTGGAGAAGGTTGAAGCATTTAGATATCAGGTTTTGTTTTATTAAAGAAAAAGTATATCTGAGTTTGATAAGGATAGAGCATGTCAAAACAAATTGCTGATATCTTTACAAAACCTTCATGAAAGGTAAGCTTTGCAAGTTTTGTGTTAGACTTAGGTTTGTCTAAGTGTTGAGTAAATTAGTTAGATTAGTGCAATCTTTGTTGATTTTAAAACTAAAATACTTTCATTAATATATTGTTGAAAATAGTGTAGAATATAGCCTGTAGTCAAATGTTATTATGAATCATTCTCAAACTCAACCCTTAGCTGTCATTGATATAATTATATCAAGTTAGTAATGGAATGTAGGATGTAGGTATATCTCTAGTTGTTGTTGAGAAGTTTAGTTTTGCTACAGAAGGATCTGTGACCCTTGTGACAGAAGTTTCTCCAATAAAAGCCTTATCCAACAAGTGTGTTCACACACACAGTTCATCAGTAACAGTTCTACAAGTTTTGGAATTAACTGACCACTTGAAAAAAAGACAATTTAATATTTCACATTATTATGTTTCAAGTCCAAGGACCAAGTGAAAGTTATTGCAAAATTCCTTATTAAAGAATAAACCGTTTCATCATCATGTGTAAACCTACTACAAACCTATAGTTATGAATTAGTTTGGCACATTTAATTCAGATTCTTCCCTCCTCTATGACAAAACAAAATACACATAAATGAATATTACATGAGGGAATACATAGAGCGCTCTATAATATATCGTGATGCAAACGATAAAAATATGGACTGATATTGTAGGAATTTAAAAACCTAATTTAATTTTTCTAATAGAAATATAAACGACAACTCGTCCTTCGGGGACGTTATTTGTTGAGCCCTTAAGGGATTGTATATATCGTTTTAGGTAATCAGTTTTTTTGGCCCATTTAGTTTATTAGGGAATATTAGTTTTACCTGTAGCAAATCTATTCCCATTCCATCCGCGCTGGTTCCAATAGGCCAAGGCGGATGGTTCGCCGTTGTTGTAACAAATTTCGGGATTGTTCAGTCCGTACTCGTTATAATGATCCCGAGGCCAATTATGGCCCGAAATTTTAACACTATATTAAGTCTAGAAGTTCAAAATAGCCTTTAT